GTTTGCACAGCCCTCCACTTAAATATAAAAAAATACTGCAGTTTGTCATATATTCACATTGTACTACGTTTTTAAGTTTATTTTGTATATTTAGATTTGGTGTAAATCCTTCGCTTTATTGTAATGTTTTTAATGTTAAATCGTTTTTTTTTAAAAAACATTTTCTTTTTATAATCGTTATGTTCCTGACCATACACCAAAGCAAAATCCTTGCATGTGACAACGTACCTGGCAACAAACTCGTTTCTGATCTGCCTTTTGTTGTGGAATAGTTTACCTCTAATAATTTGACACACACATGCAACACCAGGTAGACAAATGGCCAAACGAGAGGCACAAAATGTGTCGCTTTTCATAAAATACGTTTTTTTTTTTTTATCTTTGATACATTTCTGATGATAACCAGCTGCATAACCACCTTGTATTTCCACTGTCCTCCACTGCTGACACCAAACTTGAACTGGTTGGCTCACTCTGGTTTAGAGAATCCTCAGCATCTGTTATGTCTTTGCATAGCTGTAGTGAGATTATGCATCCGTGATTGTAATGGTTGGTATAATGGCCCATCACAGGATGATAAATGTTGCTTTTCACCGCTGATAAATCATATTTAGGGGCATGATGTGTGTGAGGGAGAGACAGGCCGACTGTCTGAAGGAGATGGATGTGTTTCAGTGCAGGGAGGATGATCCCTCTCAGGGTTCAGGTAGAGTCCAGGTTTGCTTTCCCTGTGCTCGACAAGCTGCATACTGAGTATTTGGGTGGTAAGGGGACATTCTTGAAGAGCGTGCTCATGTGTACGCAGACAATGAGGAGGTAGGTTAGTCATTCCACTGAAACGGTTGAGGTATAGGTGTGCTGTCGCTTTCTTCGCCTGGGGCCATCCCTGCCAATACTTGCAGGTATTTACAGTGCCGTTTCCACGTGAGAGATACTCAAAACCTCTTGCTGTTTTTGTTAGATTACCACATGGTTTAGCTGCCAGGATGTCGCTTACTGATGAATGTTCCTGTTTGTATGATTTCATGCAGGCCAATCAATACGTAATCTGCAATATCTCACTAAAGGGAGCATTTAAATGGCAGGCAGCTGGGAATAAACAAGGGAGAATGGTGCAGTCGTCAGCCGTCAGATGAGCTAACTTGTCTTTATTTTGAGTCTGATGGAATGCCATTACTCAAGGTATTTTTGTAAGTGGTAGAATGACCACTGTGGGAACCTGTCCAATGAGCTGCTTCTGCTCATATTCTTGGCAAACGGAGCCCCCTGTCCCCCATTCTCTGTCCCTTTATCTCCCACTTTCTTTCTCCCTCACACAGGGTGTCAGGCTGCGTTAACAATGAATCAATCTTTGGGGGGATTCTTTGACTGCAGATGGGGTGAAGAAGTGACTGGGATGCATGGCTTTCGCTCTTTGTTTGCCGGCCCCTGTGCTCTCAATAATTCATTAACTTATCACTTTTTCTCATGGGACTGGGAGAAGTCTCTCTCTGGTGGAAGATTCTTACATCAGATTGCTGATTGATAATCGAATGAGAACACGGTTAGTGGCATATTCAGTTATAACTCATTGAGGTTCATGTCAAACATTTAAGCATCCGGTCCAAAGTACTATACAATTGTAGAAATATGTTGTTGTGACGCATTTACCAACAGACTAAGGAAATAAATAATATGGGAATCATGTGTGTCAGATAATGCTTGCATGTAAAAATATTCCCCTTGTGCCGTTCGTATTCATTCAGTGACGTCTTCAGCTTCTGGGTAATGTTTATATTTTTCAATTCTGTCTGTGTATTGATTGTTTCACTCCTTTTTATTTCCAGAACAACTGTATTTTTTCTTTATTATTATTATTATTAATATTAATATTATTATTATTATTAATATTATTATTATTATTATTATAATTGTGCTCCAAAGTCATTGGCACAATAAAGGGGGAAGAGAAAAGCTAATGGGGATCCTTAATAAACATAAACATATTTTAAACATTATTCATATGTGTAGATGTACTATATGGAAGCACTGTACATTCATAAAGGAAACCAGTACACTTAATTGGGTTCAAAGTCAATGTTTTGTAATACTTAAAAACATTTATTACATTTCCCTGATGTGTAACAGTCTTGGGTAAATGTGTTGCATTGAGTTTAATAGCTGGTATCACGACAAAGAGGAAAAACAAGTGACAAGCTTTCTGATAACTGTCTCTACTCGGTCTTTGTCAAGCTGCATTTTTGCGTCGGTGGTGTCTGAATACACAGCATTCTTCAAGTGTTTCATCAGTGTCTGTGTGTCTAAAGAGAGACGGAGAGATGGAGACAATACGTTTCGTTACGAGTAACTGCCAATCGGTCATGTGGTATGTTCAATTTAAGATGAATGCGTGGGTGAGCACTGGCTCTGAGAGGATTCCTGATGACACATAGAGCTGAAAGCAAAGCCTGATTGTTTAACCTAATTGAAATATGACTCCTCGGTCGTAGTGCCTTTTTGTTAGGCAGCAGTTCAGGTAGAGTAGGTTTAGTCAAGGAAAATACCAGAGCTGATACCTCTGGAGGATAACTGGTAGCTAGCAATTGTCATTCAGGTATAGAAAAAACATATTTATATTAATGTCATCAGGATTTACCACTTTCCAAGTTAAGTTAGAGTACATTTTTACAGGATGCCATTTAGACTTGACTTTACATGCCAGACTGTTTTACAATCACGGTTTAAAAAAGTTTCACGTGGTCATCTCAAGCTGTGTAAAACATCCTGTTTAAACACCACATCTCAAGGTCACTCAGTTTTGTGTTTGTTAACATGGACAAAACAACCCCCACACCAGTGAGTTAGTGCTCAACAGGTAGGTTCTGCCTACCTCTGTAGGGCTAAATATAGAAAACTCTGCTCAACAAGACAGTCGTGTTTCCACTGCTAAAATATTTACAGCTACTTTGCCCAAACAAGTGAGAGTGAGAATATGAGAGCTGCCGGAGCCAGATTGTTGTTGACTAGTCAGAGGAAGCCAGACAGCCGGCCCACTGAGTCCAAAGTCAAGCGGCGTAGTTTGCACACTCGAGTCTATTGGAAGTTATATCTCATTCATCCCCTCGGTCCCCTCTTCTTCAACCCTGAGGTAATACCCAAGTGTTAGGCTAGCTCAGCCATATGTGAGCCATGCACACTTCTGAAAGCCAAACGGGCAGCCTGAAGCAATCATTGCACCCAATTCTAGTTTATAACCAGCAAGGATTTGGAACAGTTCACTCTCTGTAGTCCCTGTTGATTGGACGAAGGCAAGAGTTTATTAGGGAAGGGGGTGCCAAGAGCTTTGTCCCCCCCCTCCCTTCCTTGCCCTTCCTCTTTAACTTCAACTCCCCCTTTAACTTTCGCTCCCCCAGCTGAAGAATGCTCGTAAAACGGGTTCACCTGAACAAGCCAGTGGGAGGGTAGCTCCCTGGCCTAGTTTTGTTACCATTGTAAAATGTTAGCAAGACCTTGTTTGTGTTTTTGTTTAGGGCCCCCTTTTATAAAAAAAAATGCTTTGGGGGGAGAGACAGCAAGGGTGAAAAAAAGTTTGGTTTGTGAGATAACTGCTACCAGATGCTCTCCCTGTCTGTTATTAAGGAGAAAGAGAGGTTGGTAAAGAGGGGAAGAGAAAAGAAAGACAGTCAGTTCTGGATGAACTTCTCAACTGCTACATGGAAAAAAATCCATCTTCTCCTTGTCTGCAATTTTCTCATCCAATGAATCTTCCATTTAAAGAAAAAAAAAAGAAAAAAAAAAAGTGTGTTTTTTATTTCAGGCTAGATTATTACTCTGCAACGAAAACAACAAGGGGAATTTGGCGTGGACATCTACAAAGTGCACATGTTCCAAAATGTCACCTTTGCTGCCCTCAATGCTCCATCCCCTGTAATTGAACTGTGTCAAATGGTTGGTTGCAATTATTCCCTCCTTTGTTTACATTGTGTTCCTCTCCCTCTCTGTACATTTCCAAGATGAAACGGTTGGATGTGGCAATGGGGTGTGGTTTCTGGGTCTGCCTGGATTGAGAGGCGCTGCCGTTGTGAGTTGTAAGAGGATCCTTGCGTGATGTGACCGTGCAAGCAGCGACTCCAGGCGCTCTGCGTGTCTCCTGTCTTATAGTTCACCTGTAATTTAAAGGCTCCTTTCATTAAAATAAATGATCGCAAATTGCAGCGGGTGTGCAGACACTTGCTCACGGCCTAGTGCTAGACATCTTTTCCACAAATTGGAATTTCTACTTCATTGCAGCCTTGAGTTCAAAGAAAAGTCAAGTTGTGAATGAAAGACTTCAACGCCATCGTTAATGGCTCCAGACTTTCTACAGCATGTCAACACTGGCAAGGCATGTGTCAGATAATTTAATACTGTCCATTTTTTCCGACTACACTCATTCCTTAATTGGACGGATTTTTTTCCTCTCCTTTCTGAATAAAGTGGAACATGTTCCCTGCTCCTCGCTCTGCCGGGTGACGTCAGCCCTGAGCGTGTGGCTTGTTGTTAAGGCAACAATCCAATAAACAGGTTGCCTCCTGACGGTGCCACATCATCGGAAGTTTGCACCAATGCATTATTTTGTATACCAAATAGCAGTCACAAATATTGGAAATTAGTCCGCTCCGATATTTTGTATGTAGGTGGTTCCAATTTTGTCAAGCGACCGACATGTTTCCATTCGGCTTGTTTCTCGTGGTGGTCATACGCTCATTTGATTGCCAATGCCATCCTGGAACAAGTGATTCTATATGACGACTGCGGTATGACTATAATAGGAGACGTTAAGGTCCCTGTTCAATTTGCACCACCGTCTGTATTACCCTGTTCCATGTGGCTCCCCTTTATATAGGGCAATTTATGAGTTTGAATTTAAATAGAAATGGCAGAGTTTGACACTTATGGGGGCCAAACACAGAGTAATAAGATCAGTATAAGTGTGCTCTGCCGCAGTGTGGATGAAGTCATCTCGCATGATTTTGAGGGATTCAATGAATTTCCTTTGACGGACAAGGAAAGTATAGTAGTCATAAGTGTTGTAAGGTTTTCAATACTTACAATTGTATATAAAAACGCCTCCTGTATCCAGTCCCGGACTGGCCATCGGGAGGACCGGGGGGTTTCCCGATGGCCTGGCCTGTTAAGTGGCCTGCCTCACACAGGGTGACTGGCTGTCCACATGATGTGGCCTGCCGACATGGCCACTGTCATACAGATCATAAAACAAAGCCCTTGATTGGTCTCTGTGTCATTCAAGCTCGGGATAACCTCAGCTCATGTGAGGTAAAGGACTCTGAGTGTTTAGATAGTTAACTTAGTCTAAGTTCTCAGTGGGTCTCAAACGGTTTGGTCACCATTTATGTAAACACATATTTCCATTTGAGGGGGTAGTGATTAGTAAAATATGCATGAATAAAAAATTAAAAAGTTAATTAGGTGAAAAAAGGCAAGATTCACTTTTAAAACTTGTTGAGAGCTAAAACTAGTCTTTGCTGCTGCCTCAAAGAGGAGGGAGACAGGAGAGGCCACAGGAGAGGCTGATTCTGGAGCACAGGCACACTCTCCTCTTTGAGGCAGCAGCAAAGACTAGTTTTAGCTCTCAACAAGTTTTNGCGTGCGTGCGTGCGTGCGTGCGTGCGTGCGTGCGTGCGTGCGTGCGTGATCACCTGCTGTCCCTGCAGTCTCTGCTGCAGCTGCAGTCTCAGAGGCTTGGTGGCGGTCAGCATGCGAGGCCTCATCATGTTTGAACGCGGGTTGCCCATACCCCCCATGCCACCAGCCATATTAGGGAAGCCCCCAGTCTGGCCCACTTGATTCATCATGGGGTTGAAGTTTCCTGGAGACTGGCCCTGCATCGTGGAGCCACCATAACCGGGCTGCATGCCCATAGTGGAGGGCCCCGGGGGTCCAGGGTAGCCCTGGGTGTACATGGGTTTTTGGTCCATGCCTAAAGAGGACTCGCGCCCGGGGAAAGGCTCCGACTGTGGGCGCCGAACCGGCGCTCGCTCCTGGCCTTCAGGTCCGTGGTTCTGGGGAACAGACAAGATGCATTTCATTCAGACTGGACAATTAAACTTTAATATCAACAAAAAGCAGATAAGGGCGTTCATTTTGTCTAACTAGTGAAAGATCATTTATTTATGAACTCTGCACAAAGACCATTAAAAAAACATGTTATATTTTCAAATGATATTCTCTTTAATTTGGAGATGATGAACTTATGTTTTACTGATAAATGATCAATTATTTGTGGATTTTATTTGGTATTATAAATCTGAAATTTAATTGGAGTATCAAGCTTTCAACTAAATAGCTAAACATGCATGCATATAAAATGAGCATTGCACCCATTAAGTCATATTTTATACTTCCTGAAGCACATGTTTTCTGCATAAAGAATAACAAATGTATATATTCCCAATTGTCAACAAAGTAAGTTGTTTTCATTTCTTGTATATGCTAAATATAATACGTTTACTCAAGTTAGTGGAGTACCTGGCCTACTATTTCAGGGATGCCTAGGGCTCGGTCAATCTCCTGCAGAGCAATAACATCAGTGGTGTTGAGCAGAGAATCCAGCTGATCCAGAAGTGCCCGTTCATCACTCGGACCCTCGCTGTTGACCCGAGGCCCTAGCAGCTCCTCCAGGGGGTGCCCAAACTGGTCCCTGACACAGGAAACCACACAGGAAAGGTTACACCACTGACTGGGATCACAGAAGCTATCAACACCATCTTTAGTTCAAAGTTGGAAAACATCTAGAAGCATAGGGTGAGGTGCAAAAAAGGTGTACCTGGTTGTGTTAGTCTTTGGTCTGTCCATTCCCATAGCAGAGTCCGGCCAGGACGGGGACCGAGGTGTGGGGCCGTGTGCACCAAACGGGCTCATACCCATACTGGCTTCATTGGTACCTGCAGAGAGGAAAATGGGAAGGTGATGATCAATAAGAGGTCACCTTAAATCAAATTACACAAGCCCAGAAAATGATTCTGATACCGATATTATCTTTATTCATATCATGTCTCTCTTTTATTACAGTTCAATGCAAAACATACCCATATCCATGAGTTGCTGCTGCAGCATAGAGCGGGTTTTTCCGGGAACACTGTTGGACCGGTTGATCATGGGTCCTCCCATTGGACCGGAGCGTCCCATGCCAGGGTGTCCTGGTCCGGCCACAGGGCTGCCGCTGGACCTCTGCATGCCCCAGTCGCCTGGTGCCGACATGGGAGGCCTCTGAGGCATTCCCATTCCTCTGCCTATCCCTCCTGAAAGACCAGAAACAATGTTTTATCAGTATGTTTCTTTTTTTTTTTAATTGGTTTAGTTAGAAAAATATATAAAAATAATAGTATTATCCCCATGCTTTCTACTCTGTTGATCCCAGGACTCTTGGGCATGCTAAGTTAAAGTCTTTAATTTACTTGTTGGATTGCCTCGTGGCGGACACACACCCATGCCCCCTGGAAAGCCGTTGGGAATGGGCCCGGGTCGGATCGGCGTATCCATCTTCTCCTGCTTGATCAGTGTGGGACAGGGGAGGTTTCGTCTGCCGGCCAGCCCCCCTCCTACCGCTCCTTCTCCTCCCATGGGCTTGGCATCCATGGACAAGGCTCTCTGATAGGCACTACGCTGAGCTGGAGGCATGGGGCCTCTTACCCCTTCTGGAGCACACACACAATACCACATTTAAGTTCACATACCAACACATATAGGTTGTGTGATTAACACTGCCCTGACAAGGAAGCATCTACAGTGTGATATTTCATGCAAAACTTATATATAAAACTATCTGATGCCCTATGCCAAGGCTTCTATGGCTGTAGTGTCTCGGACGTGCATTATGTTCTGTGTTTTTCCACATTAACCAGTGTTACATTTGATTACGATACTAAAATAAATTGATGGACTCACCTTGTAAACTGTCCGGCATATTTCCTGGTTTGTTTCCTGCCTCTTTCCCTGCTCTGGAGTCCGGTTCAGAGAAGAAGCTAGAAGTGTTTCTTGGGACCCCCAGAATGGTCTCCAGTGTCTCCGACTGAACCATCGAGACACACCAAAGATTAGAAAAACATTCTCTACTGAATATCTTAAACTCAATTTCACAAATTAGTATTATGGCGCGTAAGACTCACCACCTCAGCCGGCTCCAATTTGACCTTCCCATCCATGCAGTGGGGGTCCGAGCTTGTGACCCCTGGCCCCTGAGCTACTCTCCCCTCCAGCTCCTCCAGCTTTGGCTTGACATCCCCGCCTTCTTTAGAGTCATCCTTGTTGAGGAGGTAGTGGAGAAGGGCGTGGGGCTTCTCCCTCTTCGGGCTGTGTTGCTCCTGCTTTGACTCTGGTCCTCTTGCCCCCCCTGCAGCGGCGGGCCCCGGCTCAGCTGCCCCGCCCTCCAAACTGCTCTTCCCAGTGGCCTCGGCTGTGATGCGAGCCACCTCGTCAGGAGTGTTCCCGTTCTGCAGGAGCTTGTGGAGGATCTTGTGCTTCTCCTGCAGGGACTGACTGGTAAGATGTGCGCCGGAGGAAGACACGGCGCCATGGTTTCCGCCCGTGGAGGAGGACACTCCCGTGGAGGAGGAGGGGCTCGTGACACCAGCTGTTCCTTCTTTAACCTCGGGCGTGGAGCAGGGGCCGGAGCTCGGTGTGTGGTTAGGTGGCACCAGCTCATCCGTGGGGGAGGTGAGGAGCTGCAGAAGCTTCTTGTGGCTCTTGGTGTCCGGGACCCGTCGGTTGGAGTCTCCCCCGGGAGGACCCGCCTCTCTACTGGCTTGGCTGTCGGGCTTTTCGGGCAGCCCCTCGCTGGTGGGGGTGTGCGGATGCTGCTGAGACTCTCCTGCACCCCCCAGTAAGCTGCCTGGGCTCTTAGAGTCAGAGTAGGCCGGAAGGCTGGGTTTACACGGCCCTCCAGCTGCCTGATTGGTGGAGTTGATGCTCGGGGAGCTGTCAGGTCTGTGAGGGGGAGGAGAGGTGAGGGGGGAAGGCATCGGGTTGCCCACTCCCTCACTGATGGCTTGGAGGGCGTTCAAGGAGCTACTGGAGAAGGTGGTGCTTCCTAATCCTCCTCCAGAGTTACCGGGGTGACTGGAGCTCATGGGAGAGTTCATACCTGCAGAGGAACGACCACAGATATGTCAACAATCCAGGAAGGTAACAATGTCACAAAATACAGAAATGTCACAAAATGTGGTCAAAAGGTTGTGTTTGTTTTTTTACTGAAATAATGCTACCTATCTTTTCTACCCTGGATATGTACTTTTATTTTAATGCAATTAATTTTCACTATACGAGTGTGATTTTCTCTTTATGTAAGACAACTGCACTGTCCCCTTTGCTGAAACAATGTACATTTCACGGCTGTGGGACGAATAAAGGATTTCAGATTTCTGGGGAAGTTAGATTTTTGACATGTAATAGTCTTCAGGAGTTACAAAGTTGTGGTTCATACCTCCAGGAGAGAAGGGACCTGCACCCATTTTTGGGCTTCCTCTGACTCTGGGTGAACCCATGACGTTGTGTGGGGGGCCATTAATCCCTGGACTGGCAGGGGGGGGACTGGTCATCCCGTACCCTCCACCTCCGGGTCCACCTCCACCTCCTCCATGGAACTGACTCATCTGCTGCTGCTGCTGCTGCTGCTGCTGCTGTTGCTGCTGCTGCTGCTGCTGCTGCTGTTGAAGCATACTGTGGTGGCCCATCTGAGTCATAGGCCCCATTTGGTTCATGGAATTCATGGGGGAGTTCATTGAATGCAAGGAATTCATCTGATTCATTTGACCCATGTTGTTCATCTGATGCATGGGACTCATTGGATTCATCTGGTTCATGGGATTCATGCGGTTGCCCCCGGTGTACGACGGCGCTCCCCTCTGTGGCATGGTGCTCTGCTCCGCCATACCGTAGCCTCTGTTCATGCCCCCCGCTGGGCTCATGTTCATCTGTTGGTTGGGGTTGTTCACAGGCATGGTCTGAGGCCTTATACCTGCTCCCTGGTTGGCTCGATAACCATTTTGCTCCCTACAATGGAATCCATAAAGTTAATAACAGAATATGAAACTAAGCAAGACAGTTACCAAATCTTGGAGAGCATTTAAAACATGTGTACCTTTGTAGCAAATGTGTGGAGAGGTATGAGTGCGGTTCATTGGTGCTGGGATTCCTGCAGAGGTCACTCCTGGTCTGGGCTGTGACTGGGGTGCCGTCAGCGAGTGAGAAGCGGTAGAGAGGGGTCTCCGCATGACCATTATGGAAAGCTAGAGTGGAGAAAAAGAGAATTGAAAACACCAAAAATAGCAAGTCAAAACCATTCAAAAAAGTGCTAATAATCAGCCGTGCCAGGTTGAAGCAGTAACTTGAATAAATATCCATATATCTGATATATTCTTGCCGTTTGTGAAATAATCAATGCAACACAGATGTGTTTTTCAGAAGACACAAAGGAAGGCACGGTAAAATGTGTTGCTCAACCTTCACTCGCTAATACCGGTCACAATAAATCTTCCATATAGATACTGTGCAACAAAAAGCCCTCCAGTGGTCACCGTCTAAAAGCTCTTAATGTGAAACTAACCCAATTAATTCTACAATAACAGCTGCTAAAGTTCGACAAAGACAAATGTCGGCTGCTGTCTGTTAGATAAGTAAAACAAAAACATGAAGTCAAGAGTGATACTCATCGTGACGTATGAATGCATCGACGTAACACATGTTGGGGTACATTCCTTGAATACTTTTGTTAATGATCAAATCACACCTGACACCTTTAACAATGGCTCAGAGCTCCCCAATGTCTGTTACCATGCTGTCATTCTAATCCATTAATGTTAAAAACAAATGCAAATATAAAATTGCTATAGCATCTGCTGATGTAGCACCAGATGCATGAATGCTATGCTTTTTGTGTGACTAGGGAGGGAGGTTCAGATTAAACATACCATCTTGATAGTGCCGTTTGTAGGACCACGGTTGTCCCTCACTTCGGTTGAGGAACATCTGCATGCAGCGCCTCACCAGGTCCTCCCAGCCCGGGCGCATAGTGGTGCTTAGAGAGGCCTGCTGCTCAATCTCAATCAGTTTACCTGCAAGACAAGATAAACCAATGGGATTACACAAAGGATGATGATTTATGGGGAACTATAGATGCAGTGAGTATAGTTTCGTGTATTTAAGAATCTTAGATGTACATCTCTTTGGCTTTGGCATGGCTTTAAAAGGTCCCATAACCATAACAGTACAAGTTATGAGTATAAGTGGGGACATTCTGTTTAGTACACAGCATCATTATATGCTAGCTCACAGTGCCTAAGAACATATTTCCAAAGATCGTGCCACCTGATTAAATGTGAGAAATGACTTTCCTTTTATAGAGATAACACAGTAAAAACTTACCAGTGAGTTCATGGCGAGTGCTAAACCTCTCCGTCCTCTCTACATGGATGATGCGTCGTGCCACACAGATCATACAGGACTGCAAATCTGAGTAAAGAGACAACACAATGATCAGGCATAACATCTAGGCAAAAATATACCGAAAAATACAGTGGAAGGCATGGCAACACACGTACATGTATTCTACAAGGTAGCTGCTAGTTAAATCATATCTTCAGCATTATTCAATGGAATTGAACTGGAATCAGTTGCCACATTTTAACAGTTGTATTTTCACATAATTTTAATCTAAAATAAAATACCAGATAAGATAAACCTTTATCCCCATGGGAATTCAGCAACAGGGGAATGAAAGAAATACATATTCGAAGCTTTCATCCGTGACATTTACCTTCTCCCTCCTCCATCATGGCTCGGGGCTGAGTGAGGGCGAAGCACTGCATGGTCTCATAGCGCTGGCCACCCGGCCTCTCTTCTGGCATCCCATGACTTTGACCGTGACCAAAGTTGACCAGCATGCGACAGTTGAAGGTGTGGCTCTTCTGCCGGGGTGCCTCTCCGCTCCACGATGCCCCGTTCGGTGCTATGGAGAGAAATTGGCAATGGCTGAGCAGATGAACACGACTTCATACGTGTGTTATCGAGTACTCATGTTCATATATTTATACATCTGTGTGACTGAACCCTTGTCTCACCATTAGACTTGGGCAGATTCTTGTGAAACTCCTCCCTGTCCTCATCGTGGATGATATTATACACGCTGGTGTTGATGAGCTCCTCCTGCTTGTACTGCAGGTACTGCGTCACGTTGTCGGACACAAACACAATGTTGCCCTCTCGGTTGACCACAAACAGAAAACCGTCCAAGGCCTGAAAACATAGTTGCCATAAAAAAATGAAGAGATGATGATTAACTTTATTTAGTTACAATTGATGCAGCTCTATTAACCAGCTGAGACACTAGTATCAAGTTTAAGTGAGCAATGACAGCAAAGCACTGGCACAGCATATGGACAGGCAGGTCATTATTGTTGCCCCCCCCCCAATGATTGTCCCCGAGCTGACCTGTAGGAGCAGCGGTCCCAGATGGTCCTTGTCAATGACCCCCTGACCAGTGGAGGACACATCGGCCTTCTGGACATCGTCATCACTGCAAGTGCTCTTTCCTGAGGACAGATGAGTCATTTAACAACAGTTAAATATGTGGATTTGTATTTGTTACTTTATACATTAGAAATCATTTCCATGGTGTGACTGGACTAGAACAGCTGTGGTTCAGAAGGAAAGACTAGTGACCTTCATTCTGAGCAATGCACATGACCTGCATGTCTTGTTGAGTGACAGTTTAATACATTTTGTATAATGGTGTTTTGCCTATTGTACAGTTTGCTGTGGGTGCTTTCTTTATGCAAAAATAATTGTCTTTCCAGCCAGCAGGTGGCAGCATGAGTCATGGATGAATAATTAGCATGCCTTTCTATTTTTAAAACCAGCATGTGTCTGAGGCTTTGTTAGATACCACTCTATATAGCAGGGCCATCTGTGGCGCGGACACTGAGCAGGGCGACAAATAATACCACTCTGGATTTAATTCAATTTCCAATTCAAACTAGCTGTTGTATGAGCAAACAGAGAAAGCAGAGGCTAATTTGATGAAGGAGACAATGATCGCAAAGATGTGTAAACAGGGGGAGGGAAAAGGTGAGTTAAATGGACAACAGACAGAAAAGAGAAGAGAAAACAGGCCCTCCATCATAGCCATCCTGTAACTATGGCAACCTGGCTGCATAACACCGGGGCCAGCAGTAGCCAGCTGTGACCCTCTGGGTAGACTCCAATATTATTGCTCTTTCTCTTCCTCACCCACTTAACCTCACAGATATAATCTCAACGAATGTAAAACAGGTGGAAAATATCCTCCTTTGAATATCCAATCTAATGTCAAATCTGCAAAATGATTGGAAGATGGCCCGAGGGCAGCAGCGACTGAATAAGGTCTGATTCCTGCGTCACCACTAGTGTCATTCGTCTCGCAGCGAGGAGCACGGTTTGGCACTAACAGATCCACAGTGTCACTGACAGCCTTGAGCCACGACCACCAAGGACTGGTCTCAATTACTGGTGTTCGTTTACCCCCAGCGATACAAACTGGCTGTCAGTCTGAAGCCGCCTGGCCATGAACCAAAACACCACTTCATCACGGCATCATCTGTCCTGCAGGCTAAGAGAACCAGCCCAACTAAAGTCCCTGCTTACCCCCCATAGCAAATACCGGAAAATAAATATATAAAAATTAATTATATATAATTCCATTAGTGATAGAAATTCATTTATAACAAACAAAATAAATAATATTAATAATAATCGTAATAATACCTCGACTTGTAAAAAACTAAGAAAGGTTTGGCTTATTTGTCACAACAACAGCCCCATTCAGCTAACTTAAACGATACAAAATAAGGTTTAATAAAGAAGGCTTTAAACTGCGGTGACAAAACTGTGTGAAACTGCAATTCATATGTTTTAAATAATACATTTAAAGTACGATATTTTGGCTCCAACATGCAGTAGCACTAACATTGGTATGGTTTATTGAAAACTCATGTACTTGCAAGTTAAAAGCTTCAGCTAAATATAATGTAACAAATGCAATAAAAGTAATAATAATGATAGTGAGTGTGTGAGTGTGTGAGTGTACAGTGTGGGTACCTTGCTCTTTTATTTGTCTGATCTGTCTCACAGTCTCTTTGAGGATGGCACATTTGTCAGGCTTGACGTTGAAGCTGTCAATGTTGGAGAGATTGGCAGAGATGAGCTCCGCTAGTTCCTCGATGTACTTGCTCTCCTGTTCCCTCCGACGCTTGTCACACCTGCCGAGGCGCCAAGGGGATTAGACACGTTACTATGACAACCTCACCTCCCCCTGCCCCGTCCGTATGCAGGCCACACAGCCTTGGCTGGGATGCTTCGGATACTTCGATGGCAGCAGAAGACATACGTTTGAACCAGATGAAGGGGGGTAGGGATGTTTACAGGGGGCAGTAGGGAGGAAGTGACCTCGTGCACTTGCTGACATTCACACCGAAAACAGCAGTGGACAATGATTGATTTGCGACTGACAGTCAACAGAAGTTACAGTACTCACCCTAAGCCTGGTGTGTCACAGGTGGAGAGTTTACGTTTGCGGTCGGAGCACAGCGGCTCCAACGAGTTGTCTCCTATGCCACTCATCTTCAGCGCATATCAGCCCCTGAAAGCACAAAACCGCACATCATATATATATATATACATACATACATACATACATACATACATACATACATACATACATACATACATACATACATACAGGGAGCGCAACATGATCAGAGGGAATGAACTGGGAGTGTGGTTTTATAAGCTTATGTGTGTGGTATAATCAAATCAAAGGATAAGTGTGGATTGGGACATGCCTTCAGTCGTCAATTCTTTGCAAAGTTCACTTTTTATGCCAGGCAAACCTTGAGAGCTCAGTGTCAAGTAATGGGGGAAAGAAATAAAGAAGCTACTGAGGTTATAAATAAAGTGACTTCTGAGGCGAGAGTAGATTGTAGATTCCCACAGATTTATGAAGGTAAACTATCCAGTTAGTAAAGCAGCCTTGGTTCCTGCTTAGTGCCTGATGGGAGTGAAATCTCATCTGTTCCACTGTGAGGAGCGACTGATGATGATGTAGTGATTTGGAGCCTCGGGGGAGATGGGTCATTCTGCGTTCAGCCAGCTTGCCCGCTAGAACGATACCACTCTGCTATCAGCGGCAACACACAGCGCACACAAACTGTTTCCAGAACAGTTTCATGTTCAGGCATGTCGCAGCACGGTCTGCAAGAGAGTTTTAGCTGCTGTCCCAGCTAGAGACACATTTTCACCAACCTTCCTCTCTGTCTAACTGCATGGGACGGCACTGGGGGAAAAAAAATACCCACTACTTATGCACGTGGAATCCAGAAACAATCCAGGCGAGGGACTAGTAAGAATTATCCCCTTTCCGCTCTCTCTTTACTCCGCATTCTCCATACTAGGCCACATCCGCTCTTTATTCCAATAGGTTTTAACTGCTGTTTCCTCCCATACCATCCTGAGGCAGTCCCTCCCTTCTCTCCCTCCCTCCCTGGGTGTAGCAGTACTGGGCTGTGGACCCTGCCCTTGTTTTCTTGCTCTGCCATTGCCCTGTGTCTGACCCCCTCAAAGTTCACGTTAGAGGAAACCTCTCTAACCAGCCTCTAAGGTCACTGCTCTTTTCCGATTCCCACCCAGAAACACTCACACAGAGCTGTAGCATGCTGCTTCACAACCAGATACGACTCTATGCTCAACTCTGCGTCCGCACACAAAAAAACAAAGTCTTAAACACAGAGTGAGCTCATTCCAGAGTGGAAAAGTATAGAACGGATGGGAGCCATTATGCAACTCCTGCTCCGCAAACTGCAGGCTAGGACACGCAGCCCATTCACCACTACTACTCCTACAGGAGCGCCAAGTCTCAGACAAGCAATCCGCGCCATAAATCTGCAGCGCATGCTTGGTGTCCGTCTACCTTTCACCACCCCTCTCTAAAATCTGCCTGTCCTGCTCTGGCTGTGACTCTCAATGCCTTCCCTTCTCTCTTTCTCCCTTCCTTCCTTCCTGCTGTCTGTCCTAAGGCTCACCTCTGCAGCAGTGGAGAAAGATGACATCAGCCCTCAGTCAGCCTCAAATCCTGAAAACGGAAAACAAGCCGAGCTGGGGGCCTTTCTGAGAACAGGGAATGTATGGCTGAGTACACAGTTCTGGTTATGGGGGAAACATTTTCAGTCTGTTTGTAACTTCACAGGAATTTAAACTACACGACACAATTTACATTGAAAATAGTATGTGTCATTTGTTAATTAATTCTGCACTTTCCAAAAGACTTTGACTGCCTGAAATCTAAAAAATCCACGCACACAGCACTTCTGGAGCAGAGTTAGAGATTGCGAGCAGCAGCCAACCAAAACCACAGATGAGTCTCAACAGGCCTGGCAGTTTGCCACTGACCTGAATCAGCTTCATTTGACAATGTGAAACTTGCTCAGGGACAAGATTAGATATGTCAGACAAACCATCAGGCACACAAACAACAGCTGCCAACCTGAGAAATACAACATATCATAGTTAAAAATAATACCATTTCTTAATTTTTTTGACAGACTGTCGACCTGGCAAGTGTGTGTGAGTGTGTGTTTTTCAGTGGCGAACCGTGTCTATCACAACTGGACCTTCTGTAGACACACACACCCCCCCGCCCCCCGGCGTTATAATGTCCGTCTTTTCACTGAATTGTCGTCTTGAAAAGGGTACTCACAACAATTCCGCAACAACTTAATCTTCACCTGTTGCACTTGCCATTTCAACGTTAAAAACAATAAAACTGCATGAATTGCTTCGTGGCATTCATCTAGATCCTCTGTCTCGAGCCAGTGAACTACCGGGCCTTGTAAAGTACCCTGGAACCGAGGGAAACTCTGAAAGAATAGGCCCATTGGCTACAAATCAATATATGATTGGTTGATCAAACTGTCAGTCCAAATGTACGCTCTCATTCAGTGCAACGGCCAGGGCATTCGATCAAGGATGTAGAATACCTTGGTTGAAGGATATTCTACCCAGAGACCCAGAACAAGATCTGATTGGTTGCTTTCTTTTCTAACACAAAACCACTGAAATGCGTAGTGCATGGACCGAGAAGGACAAACAAATCAACGTAACACTGTAATATTACAGATCAACAACACAGGTACCATTCTCATTTATTCATTTTATATACATTTTATTTATATAATTAAATCGATTCTTTGTTTGTTTTATCTGAGTGTTCCAGGGTATTCTCTGAATACCTTGAAGGCCCTGACGGTTCGCCACTGGTGATTTTCTTTAAGTTATACATCATGCTCACCTTGACCAGTAGAAGCCCCAGTCAAGCTCCATTCAGGGACTAGTGTCGCTTCAATGTCTTAACATCTCCTGGAAAGAGAAAATGGAAAGGTCATGAACTCTGAAAGTCTTAACGTGACTCCATAATCGCACTGCCCTTTTTATGTTTAGCTTTCACAGAAAATCATGGGAAAAAAACTGATTTCTAAAAATGCACAGGAAGCCACTGCAGATAGCATCCTGTTTGCGTCCTCCCCTCAGCCCGTTCCACTGCGTCATCACTTCCCTTTCCTGGAAATGTTGCCACTCATCCACCCTATTTACATATTCTGTTTATCAGGCTAGACCCCTGTCGCCTGGATCGTACTCGCACACCTTGATTGATATTAGCTGCTGGCCATCAGAGGCTTACACAAGCTTTTGTCCTCAGTATTAAGAGAACAACAAAGTGTGGCAATTATTCATCTATCCCCAAAACGGCCAGAAATCCCTGCACAATTATCAGGTGGTGGCTAACTCTTAATTTATAGCCTGATGGGCCAATAAGCTATCCTTACTGAACACATGACTAATGTTTTATGTGTTGCTTGGTCATTATTTATAGTAAAAAAAATGTTATGTCTCCTCTTTATCCTAGAATTAGTACATATACACTGCTTTCAAAACGTTGAGATGTCAGACATGCGATATTAAGTATTATGTCAAAGCTTCCATAACCTTCAGCACTTATAATGCTATTCATAATCACAGTAGAGAAGGCCCTCTGGGGGTTTGTTGTTTTCGCATCAGAGCAATTGGATAAGCTGTAATCAAAGCAACAGAAAGGAATCTCTCTTGAGCTGGCCACTATCATCTGTTTTACAATGTCACACTCAAATTTCAGGCTTTAAATTGTTTACTTTCATTTTTCGAGCCACATTTTCATGTCAAGGGACGCATCATATGGTCCCAAGAGAAAGTGTGGCCTGGCTTTCAGTGTTTGGGTACAAACTGATCCCAAAACCAGTGACCTTTAGCACAATCATCCCTGTCACAAGCCTATCACATGTTCTCTCCTAATGAAAATCTAATAATAATCACACTCAGATTGCATAATACAACTACAATTTTTGCATTGCTTTAATGAAAGAAACCTCCACAATTGGTGTTAAATGTTAAACCAAAAAACACACTAGCATTTATTGGTAGCCTTAATAGTTTCCAATAAAACAGTCTAACTCACAATAACCACAGTAGCTGCAAGCCTGCATCCTACTGCCCATCGTGCATGTGTGTGTTCCTCCATCACAGACCACTGATCACATCAGGCCTGAACGTCAAGCTGCTACTGAGCTAATGCTGCAGCTGAATAATTTATCGCAGAGAAAGAGAGAAAAGCGTTCCCTGTCTGTCAACTGTCCAAACACAGCTTAATAATTCTGAATCGCCTCTTACAAACGCCACAACAGCAAATCACCAATTCACAGAAACTAGGGTGAGAAAGCAGTGTGTAATAATAATATATGGGCATCTCGTCCAATACAATTGTTAAACTGTGTGAACTCCTGTGTTTTGTGTCCTTGTTTATTGACACATGAACAAATACACAGCAGTAACTTCTGGAAGGGAAATGTAATTCAAACCGGGGGATATATGTTGTGAATATGGTCCGCAGCAGGAGGAGGAGTCAAGGCAGATTGAGTAGAATAAAGAGGGGGAGGAGGCGGGAGAACTGGGAGGGGGAGGGGAGAAGAGAGGACACGGTACACAACATAAATAGTGCTGGGTATAAATGTAGATACTGGTGGCAATGGATATTTGACATTGACATATTTGACACTAATCTACTTGTTTGTTTTTTACGTTGTATTGTAATAAAAAACTAAAGTGTGATATATACTGATTCCTCATTACATTTTAAAACTATTACTACCTTAGCAGACTCATATAATGTATACATTTCAATCAGGAGAGACTTCATTTTGTTTAAAGAACATTTATTGACACATGTCATATGATAAATGTTAAGTCTTTGGCGATTAGACCCCGATCCTGAACTGGTATATCTAAAGGGGGAAATGCAGCCGTGAGCATATAGGGAACCCCCCGGGGTCTAGACACTGGTGATAATGCTGAAGATCTGGATTTGATGAGGAAGAGGGGATGAAGAGGAGGTGTGATGAGGTCTTTGGATTAGCTCTCCTGGCACTGGATATGATGAAAGGAGGTGGATGGGGAGGAGGCGGGCGGCAGCATGACAACCTGAAATCACAGCTGACTGCAGGAGAGAGGAGAACCATTTTAAAGTTTGGCTGCAGCACGGTGATTGGCTGCTGGAGAATGAGGTGAATGTAATAGGTTAAGGACAGTGCCCGTGATGAGCTGATTATAAGCAGCTGCGGATTGAATGTATACCAGTCTTCCTGAAAGAACTTGCGCTGAGCTTCATTTAGCTACTTTTACATTTTGTTAGCAATTGTTTGGTTAATTTTATTGTATTCTAACTTATTCTGTATATTTATTATGTGTATTCAATTGAGATACTGCCTTTTCTACTGTTGATATGTCCATACATGTAATGTTTGTTTAATTTCTATTCGATTTTACTTTTAACTCATGTGCAATGCTTTGTTAACATGCTGCTTTTTATTGTGATCAATACAGTAAATCCAATCTAATATAATCTAAAAAAATTATCTAATTTTCATAACGTTTTTAAGTACTCCAATTTAAAGCATTACAAAATGGGTTGAGTAGAATAATTGTAGGAGTGAGAAGTGAAGTTATGGGCTGTTTGTTTTTACCTGGAAGGCTAGCATGTATCTTTCAAGCTGTATCTGAAAATACTCCCTATTTATTATGTTATACACTATATTTACTGTCAGCCATTTGGGTTTTGGTCTACAATTTCACAAATGAGTGTCAGAATCTATAAAATTACAGTCATGCATCTCTGCAACTCTACACCTCTCAGTGATAATGCAAAAATGATCAGTGATCGCCAGAATTTTCTATTTAAATGCTCGCCTAACTATTAAGTATGTGTCATTTAGAGAGTACTGAATGAGTGAAGGGGGAAATGATTTCAGACAGTCTCGGTGTTGAGTGAACTGAGTAATGATGGGCAAACGAGGATCGATGAGCCTTCTTACACATTACTCCTGAGAAGTGGAAATGAGAGGCACCTGCTGCTCAGAGAGATTTACGGCAGGCAAGTATACTGAAGATTAAGTAAGAGTTTCAAAATATCAGGCAATTATGTTATCTCCTAATGTTGAGAATTAATAATCGTTTTATCTTGTTTATCACCAAGGAGGAAGTCTATCACAGCGTAAATAAAGAAGAAGTTCTTAGCCTGACATAGTCTGGAGTTGTTACCTGTTTATTCATACAAAGACTCTTAATTTAGATTAAAATATTGAATGTTTTTGCATTTGATGTGGAAAGGGACTCCAAACCCGCAGGTAGTGGCGCATTTTTCAAAAATGTCCTTGCTACTGGGTACAAAAATACCAGGATCTTCCAGGGATCTGGGCCCAAAGCATGTGCACTTATAATCGTCTTAAGCCCCGCCTCCAATCCGCTGCGCCACATCTGGGTTCGGCTATATAAATGCAGAGGTAAAATTGCTTTATTTATATAGCACCTTTCACCACGCGACAATTCAAAGAGCTTTCAAAAATAAAAACAAAAAGACATTTAAGAATAAATACAGCATAAACACATTATTAAATGGCATTTAAAAACAGGCATAAAAAAGCAAAGATAATGAAATAAAGAAATAAACACAGCAGGTACAGAATACATGAATAAAAGGCATACTGCCGTGTGTGTGAGTATGAACAGCTCAATTAAAAGCAGCGGCAAAGAGATATGTTTTTAGTCTGGATTTGAAAATAGGAAGTGTTTCAGCGGACGTGCACGATTCGAGAAGTTCGTTCCAGATTGTTGGGGCATAATAGCTAAACGCTGCTTTTCCATTTTTAGTTCTTATTCTTGGAACAGAGAGCAGACCCGACCCAGAGGTCCAGGAGAGAGACTCCTGGATAGTTCATAGTTATGCAGGAGATCGTTTATATACCTCCGTCCTAAGCCATTTAGGAACGCAAACTAGCAATAGTATTTTAAAATCAATTCTTTGGTCGACTGGAAGCCAGTGTAAAGACTTCAGAACCGGACTGATGTGATCCACTCTTTTCGTGTCAGTGAGAACTCGAGCAGCAGTGTTCTGAATCAGCTGCAGCTTTCTGATGGATTTTCTTGTGAGCCCTGTGAATACACTATTGCAGTAGTCGAGTCTACTGAAGATGAAAGCATGGACAACCTTTTCTAAGTCCTGTTGTGACATTAGTTTTTTAATCCTAGATATGTTCTTCAGGTGATAGTATGCAGATTTAATAACTATTGAAATGTGACTGTTAAAATGCAGGTCTGAGTCCATCACTACACCCAGATTTCTAGCTTTATGAGTTACTTTGTAGTCTGCCGATTGAAGCTCTGTGATTACTTTTAATCGGTCCTTCTTTGCTCGAAAAACAATGATCTCAGTTTTTTGTTTGTTCAATTGGAGAAAGTTCTGAGTCATCCAGTCATTGATGTGCTCAATGCATTTGCTCAGTGTTCTAATCGGAGAGTAGTCTCCCGGTGTAATTTAAAAATAAATCTGGGTGTCGTCTGCATAGATGTGATAGCTTAGATCACTGTTTTTAATAATTTGAGCCAGTGGTAGCATATAGATATTAAAAAGCAAAGGTCCTAAGACGGAGCCTTGAGGAACCTCGCATGACATAGTTGTCATGATTGATTTGTAATTGCCTATTGAGACAAAGTTTGTCTGTCCTTTAAGTAGGAATTAAACCAATTCAGAGCTGTTGCTGAAACTCCCACCCAGTTTTCTAGACGGTCTAGCAATATGTTGTGGTCAACCCTATACGATCATTTCCTGAATTGATGACGCCATAGCCCTGCCTCTCCCCACTTCTCCTGCGTCATTGCTGATGCATTTCGCCAACAACAACAACAACAACAACAACAGTGGATCACAGGGTTGCGTTCGTGCTCAAGACGCTACTGACCATGATACAGATGTTAGTGCAAAATCTACAGCTCCTC